ACTGTTTACTACCGTAGACTCCCCACTGCGTGACCGACATTGTTTTCTATTATACATTGATACATTAGTGGGTGACAGTTTTGGTACAATACAGATATATTATCGTGTTACTCAGTGGGAACTAATTAATAACAAAGAATACATGTTTGTATTGAAATCTTAAGTAGCGCAACGTGAGCGTGTTTAGAACTTAAAAAGGAGTTTAAGTGTGAAATAAAAGGTTTAGCAGTCAAACGAATATTCTTTTATTATTGACCTATGGACTCCGATACTAGAGAACTACCTCTAGCGATCATGTAGGTACTGCTTGCACTTGAAGCTCGCGTGTGTGTGAATAAAAACGCCTACGACACAGAACAGGTCACAAAAATAAACTAGTTTTTTAAGGGTTAAAACGTTTAGCGGACATAAACCCGAATATTATATTATTAACATCCGTAGCCAGAGATTCCGTTTTTGAAGTTTATTAAAACATCGTAGGTACATTAATATGATTATACAATAGCTAGGTACTTAGAAAAGGTTAATACAGAATTTCAAATATTTTAATAAGAATTTCAGCTTGGTCGATTTGTATTTCACCCTCATTTCAGTCTTAAGGTACCATTAGTTAATGGAAATCTCTCAGAGTTATTGTTAGTAGATATCATTCCAGTATTGATGGATCATTCTCATTGGCTGAACGGGGAATTTCCTTGAGACGGGCAAACACTTTGAATAAATAGACAAATAGTGCTAGACTATTGTGACTGAGACAATGGCTTGACAAACATGTAGTATTGAATCGTGTATTAATGCAAGACTATAAATATATATTTTTTAAATATTTTTTATTAGCATTAAGGGCAGGCTAAAGTGTTTCGACTTGTCTTGCGTCGTGTTAAAATTGCCTTTTAATAGAATTCGAAATTTAAATTTTCATTTGTATTTTTAATATTGTCTGTGTTTTAAGTGGCATCTGAATTAGAATTCGAAGTTTAAATATATACCTTGTAATTTACAGTGATTTACAAGACCAGGATAGGTTCCATATTTAAAATTGTATGCATTAATTTATTAACAAAAGCTAATCGAGTATATTTTTGTATCTACTGTGTCAGATAACTCGCGATCACCGCCTAGACAAAGTGAAAGATTTATATACGTAACTAAATTATTATCAAAAAATGTATCTATATATATATATGACTATACTGTACCTAATTCAACAACCTACACGTCCATATGTATTAAATCCTATTTATTGATATCAAAATTCCAGATAAATTTTATTTCCTCTTAAATAATAGTCATGCACTGCAGACTGCACTAAATAAGACAAGCTAAGTACAATTACAGTTCCGGACAAAGTTGGCAAAGATTTAACTTGTTCGATTCCCGCGGGCGCCATTTCCCGTGATTGTCGCCGGGGGTTATCCCCTTCCATTCCGCAGTTTCCCGGATTAATTGTTCACACCATACCATCTCCCTAGGCAGACGTTACAGCTAAGCATAAAATAATGTAATTGTTGGAATGTTTTATGGAATTTATGATTTAAAATTATGTTGCAATAGATTAATATCTATGCGTAATAATCAACTATCTATAATTATACTAGTATTTATAGATTAGTATTTTCGTAATACAATGCGCAGAGGCGATGAGAACTTGGAGAAACTGATCGTGGTTGGTAACACAGAAGGCAAAAGATCACGTGGCCGTTCACCAACCAGATGGACCGATCAAGTGAAAGACTCATCGTCCTCAAAACAGTACATAAGAGAGGCGCTGGACAGAAACCGGTGGAAATAGATTGTCCAGGTCCTTGCTGATCAGAACGCTTAGACATGAGCTACCGACTGAAGAGAGATTTTTGTAAAAAACCTATTGGATTTCGAAAATTCTTTCATAAAACGCAATCCCTGTGTCACAAACTAATGTCCAGCCATGTAAAGAATGTATATTATGTGTTTGTATGTTTTGTAGGCCTATAAATCAATTTGTCTTTTGTTTTTTATGTCGTGATTATAAATATATACCTTGTATGATACAATATAAATTAGGTAAAATATTTTTCGAGTGAAGTTGTTAAATATAAATTAGGAATATTATTTTCAATTGAGTAAAAATATATAAGACTACGTAAACTTCATTATTATTTAAGATATATAAATACATCAATAAAAATTTACGTACCGACTATTAACATTCCTTCGTCATTGAGCGTACATGAAAAATAAATAAATAATTAATTAATTTCATGGCCAGATTTGCATAAACTGCAATTAAAAATATATTTTTAACTGTATCAATAAATTGTTTTTAATTCACAATATTTCAACATTAATTACTATTTTAGAGGTTTTGATGGCAACAAATAACGTTTATAGATTTCATTTGTATTTTTAATATTGTCTGTGTTTTAAGTGGCATCTGAATTAGAATTCGAAGTTTAAATATATACCTTGTAATTTACAGTGATTTACAAGACCAGGATAGGTTCCATATTTAAAATTATTATATTGTGACAAATACGAGTACTAGGATAAGTATGTGTATAAGTATTAAAAACTGACCATTGACAAATTTCACTAATGACAATTGACATCTCAAAGTTCTATTCTATAGCCTCAGTAAATTACATTCTTTATTAATTAAAATACACTACTTAAAACATTCAAACTGGTATGGTTTTACACACAGCCAAATGTGAAAAAAAAAATACTCGGTGAACCTAATAAATAGCCTAGAACGTATCCTTTGAATACTTTAACAAGATAAACTGTTAAAAATACCACTTTCATCTTGCTCTTGTAAAACTAGGTAACAGTGATCAATTATAATCGAGACTTACAAAGAACCAAATAATTGCAATTTGCCTCGCAGCCAATGCAAAACCTGGATATAATTAACGGTTTGGCTATTTGACCAGTCAAGGTCACAGATTATATGTATAAAAAATAATGACATGTTCTGTGTCGTTTATGAAGTAAAAATAGCAATCTATCGCACGCGTCATATGTGCGTATGTAATATAATCGTATTAATAGATTTTATTTCCTATTTGTTTTATTATTTGTCCACCATCTAGCCCCTTTGTAGATATACTATATTCAAGGAAGAGTATATACATATTTATGTTTAGTATTGACTCGAACGCATCCAACCGTTGACATTGACATAATCTAAATTGATGTATAATGGGCGCCTTAGTTGCCAGTTTTAAAGTGGATGTTAGAACATCTTACTAATAATATTCATAGTATGTATTCATAAAGTGGGTCTAAAACTTAGGCCCGTATGCTAAAACGTTAATCACAAGTAATAATAATCGTAATAATGATAATAGTTTATATCTGTCTAACTATTCTGTATTCAGTTTGACATATTAAAGAGCGCTTAAGACCTGCGGATTGGACGAACTTTAGATTTCTATCATCTTTTTTGTGGGCTGGATCCACGGAAACTATCTAAGTTAATCCAGGGAAGTTGTTCCATTTTACTACATTTAATATAAATCATATTACATAACTGAATGTCAGGAATTTAGGTATTAAACCTTTTGAAACCTGACGCTGCGACCGACTTAGCGCATCAACCAACCTAAGAAAATAGCAAGTAGCAACGTACCTATAATGTTGTATTTGAGTTTATGGCCTGGTATCTCGACAATGTTGTATTTGATTGTCGCCGGTATCACAGAAAATATAAATCACATTTTTATATAAAAGTAACGCTGTGTCACTCTGCCTATGATTACAATGATGATGATGATCTGATTATAAATCTATAATACTAAAATTGTGACTACTATTTTACTATTTTCCTTTGTAAAGAATATATGCCAACAAATTTCTACATATTATAGGTAACTTAACTTGATCGTGAACCGCGTTTATTGGTATTTCTTTGTTCTATTATATATCTACCAACCTACTTATAGTTAAAATGCAAGTATATCTATATTCTATAGGTAGGTATAAATTGAATTTCAATGTATGATCGTTTAGTTTCGCATACAATTTGCAGTGATTTCAATATTTTAATTAGCCAATTTTAAGATGTCTTTGTAATTGTATCATATAAAATAACAAGGTAGTTAGGTACTTAACTAAAGTTAATATCTAATTAATAAATAAACAAATTCTTTAAAAATGTACACACTAAAAATTCTTAAATGATTTGTTACCGGATCGGTTGTAATATCTTTTACACATACGAAATATTTCTACAGTTTTTAGTAAAGCATATATATATAATAAAGATAGGTCTTTTAAACCTAGAAACGTCGAAACTTGCTTCCTAACTACCCCTTACCCGGTCCTAATTAACTGTATTCAATATAAATTCTCGAAAACCCACCAAAAGTATCCGACATTTCTTAGAATATAGAACAATTACAAAACTGCACGTTTACGATACTTTTAAGCTGTTTATTGCCATAATAAAAGTTTACACTTTGTTTTTATTATGCCGACGGTATTGTGAACATAATTTTAAGCGGTCAAAATATTCTCCTGTGCGCTTGCCGACGGTGACTACAGCTAGTGCCCATAACCAAGATATAAAAATGTATATACAAAAAACAAATTACAAATATTGAGAGAACTAAGGTTATTTATAAAATTAATTTGTCGTTTTTTCATTTGTCTTGATATCTCGTTTTGGTATGATATACCTACTTATGGAAAAATGACGCCGAGTAAACCATTGTTTAAAACGTAGCTTTTAGGGTATGCGAACAGAGATATAAATTATAGAACACTATGAAGTTTTTATTTTATTGTCTATGAATTATATTATAGATAACCTATGACTAAATTAGTTTTTTTACAGGCGATATTTTATACCTAACCTTTTTATAGATGGGAAACGAAATATTTTATGAAATCTTAGTAAAAGTATTTCAATAACAGTCCAAGCGATTACACTTTGTGGGTAGCATCCATGTAGGTAATGAAGTACATAAAATGTATGTTTTAACAATAAATAATTGATAAATTGTAAAAAAAATATATACCTGGGTTAGGTTGTGACTGGTAGCTCGGTTTCTTCATCCATTCATATGGGGAACGAGGTGGGGCCGGTGGCTGTGAAGGTCTGGAACCGGGGGAACCTTCTCCTGGGCTTGCCAGGTCTCCCCGGGCCGGTGACGGCATCTCCCCCATATCTCTCTCACCGGGCTCCCGCTTGAAATGATGTGGGTCCGTCGGCCACTCACTTGGGGCTCCATTCCATGCACACCACTGTTGTTCCTCAAAGTTCTGGTGCTGCCAGCCATACCAGCCACTCGCGTACTGCCCGCCCTTGCCTTGGTACATGGCCAGCGGGTTAACGTAATTCACCATTTCTCGATCACCGTCCTAGCATCGCACATACACTGGCTGTCACAACACTGCACTGCTCGATTAGCAAGCAACGCGAGACGTCCGCAGACTGAGGCGTTGAGCCGCGATCAGAGCCAGCCACGAGATTGTGACTAGAGGGGCGGAAGGCGGAGGCGTTTCGACCAATCGCAATGCTCGATTTAGTCTCCGCCTCGCAAAATGACTCAGTCGCGCCCCAATACAATTTGCCTAATTAAAACAAAAATAATGGACACCGCGCGTAATGAATTCGAATTTCGAACTTCCTTCACAAAGGGATTGTCGTTAATAGCACAAGGTGTGATTCATTTGCATGTATGCATTTAAGAGAAATAAAATGTGACGTTTAATATTAATTTTAAATTCAACTTTAATTAATACTGATATCTACTTATAGTGATACAAGAGTTAATTTCTTGAATAATATTATATTATAGCTACAGTAGACTTAGGTACTTTAATTGTTTGGTACCAAACGTTGCTTAATAAATAAAATAGCTAGCTAACACGGAGATGATAGATTACAAAAATTCACTATGTTAGCTAGTGATAGGTATATTTTCTAATGAATTTTATTGAATGACAGTAAAATGTGTTATGGAAGATAATTTAAATTTAATTAAATTTAAATTTAATTTTTAAATTTAAAATAGCTAAACAACGTTTTTGTCACTAATGAGTTAAAATCCTTTCATTTTTATCAGTGATTTATTTATTTAGCAACCTTCTGTGTTTTACTCACAAAGACGATTTAAGTTTCTTCTTAGGTAAATAAGATGGTTAAAAAACTAGTTAATCTACATAATTCAACCACATACATTCGGATTCCTTTTACCATAAATACGGGATATGATTTATTGTTTTTACTTCATAAAAGTTAATTAATTATCTCCATTATATTTGACTACAATTATGATTTAAATAAAAAGCTAATTTAAAGTCTGTGCGAAATTTATTTTAGGCATACAACAGTTTTGAAAAAATCTTTATAATACATAATATACAATAGGTAGATCAGTATATGACACAAGACATTATACCTATATATGACGTTTTTTTTAAGCAATAGGGGACAAACGGGTAGGAGGATCATCTGACGCTAACACTCACATTGCCAGGAGGCTCGCAAGTGCGTTGCTGACCTTTAAAGAATTGGTACGCTATTTTTAGGACCCTAAGTCGAATGGGTTTGTACTTCAGTGGGCAGCTGGTTCCACATAGAGGTGGTGCGCAAAAACTGCCTTAAGAATCGCTCAGTTGTGGAACAGACATGTGTTTATATAGTTAAAAAGAATATTTAAAAAACGAATCTAAGGAAAAAATACTTATATACATAGGTAGGTATATATTTTTATAAGCTTTGACCCTTATCTCCGTTCAGGCCGATACGGTAAAGACGGGTAAGAGCTTTCAATAGTTGGTGCCGATTACTCCAAAACTAGGTGCGATTTACAGGGATGTTATAGTATCAAAAGGTTTGTTCTTTCTCTTCTCCATAACTCTCCTATAGTAGTGAGACAACCGCAGTATCACATGAGCAAGCGCAAGACGTCTTTACACAATTTTAGTATATATAGATAGGTATACCTATATATACTAAATATACACTTATATATATATATATGTATATATATATATATAAGTGTAACAAAAATTCTATTATTATTCGAATGTTGTTTTTAAATTATGTCCAATGCTGTAGCATCTTCCGTGGGCAACTTCATTCTGTTAATTTTGTGTCACGGTGCGCGCGCATCGTAAAATTTCACTCCCATAAATTTTTCATAACGCGCCTAAAGAAATATTACTTCCAAAACCAGTTATAACCCTTGGTATTAGATTTCTGTTTCTAAAACATTTTTTAAATTCGCCTTCTGTGCCTGACTCAATTTTTGGTAGGTATATGGTATGACTACTCACGATAGTTTTCTTCATAATATGAGAGAATACACACTTAGCCTCCATTTGTGCACAGCCGTGATTCGACTCAGGGTTGAGATTTTTAAACCAAAACTAGCTGGCAAACGTTGTTTCGCCATGTATATTATTTCTATGAAAAATTTTTTTAGTTCAATAAAATAACTATGTATCTACTATACTAGAATATAGGGGTTGATCGTAGAGGGGTGAAAATTTAGGGTTGTATGTATTATTTAATGCCACATAATAAAAAAATAATTTATCCAAAAAAAATTTTGGGTGGATAAACTTATCACTTTGGGACTTAAAAGATTGATAGTAGTCGATTCTCAGACTTACTGAATGTGCATAAAAAATTCCATAGGGATCGGTCGAGCCGTGTCGGAGGAGTATGGTAACGAACATTGTGACACGACAATTTTATATATTAGAAGAAACTTACTCCTCAGTGATAGTTTATTTTTTATAGAAGAAGGGGCAAACGGGTAGGTAACTTGACGTTACGTGATACAGTCGGCTATGGACACTCAGAATGCAGCAATGCATAGCAATGATGGGGCGCGGCTTACAGAACCCTCTAGGCACAATGTAAAGATGAAGAAACGTAGGGAATTTAATCTAATTTAGAAACGGTACGGTACGGTACTTCTGGAAAATTTGGTGATACCCCTCGGATACTCTCAATACCTCGCGATTGCGTTAAACCCTAAGAAAGAAAAACAATTTCTATTTAGTTTTTTTTTATATTTTAGTGGCCTTTGTTGCTTAAATTTTCGATAGTTATAGGTATCTTCTGACGCGAATATTAGCTTATTAGCTACGTAGACGTTGTTTTCCTTTTGTTTTATTTAAATACCTAGGTAAATGTGTTCAAAGTTAACTAAAGTAAGTGCTATAAATTAAATGCCTACCTAATTTGAACCACTGATATCTCGATAAATTATTTGAAAAGGGTGATAAATAAAATAAAGGCATTTGGTTTATATACGTAATAAAGTTCACGTGTTATTCGTTCAATTTCTGCCATTCCGGACAACAACGCTCGCCAAAACACCCAGAGCTGAAGTGTAAAGGCCCTTAAGGCCAACAGCGAGATCCCATTCAAAAAAAGTACTATTTGTACCTGAATACCTTGGGGTAAGATCAATGGATTCCGCGACAAGGCGCGCATCTGTTAGGTAATAAAAACTATTGTTTAAATATTCCTTTGATTTTTACTTAGACCTCATTTACAGGCGGAACCTTATTTATTTTAATCTAATTAGAGAATTATGAATCATGGTATGACATTTTTTAAGTAATAAATTATTAACTGTTCATGTTTCATGGGCATACATATTTCTGGGGAATTCTTTAAATTATACGGATTTTCCCTATACAATATTTACTTCGTACAACAACTTAATATTATTTGATTCAACGCTTAATAAATGCCTATTAATTAAAAAGTGTGTCGTGTGGTGTTTTTACACGTAGGCTAATATGCTTTCTGATTTAATAATCGTTAATGACAGGCATGGGTCGAAGGTAAGCTAGTAGGTAATAAGAGAAAAAGCGGCGACAAATAATCAGAACAATGATGTAAACTCATAACCGCTAAAGACGAAATTTTCGCATTTATATTTATTAAAAACTATAATCTAGTCTTAACAGGAGACCCTAAATCAATAAAAAAAAATCTTAAAATACACGCAAAAGATAAACAATAAATTGCAATTAAGCGAACGATTACAATTAAGAAAGAAAAAAATAACTATAACTATATAGACACTGATAAATAGTAGAATTTCGGTCAGTCCACTCAAGTCTCAACAGACAATAGAAAAGATCTTCGGCAAAATAATCAAATTGGACTCTACTAATTATTATGAACACAAACACGCGCGTGTGATGTTCTTGGATATTATAGGTACGGTCTTGTAAAAATATTTTGACTGTGTGACCTTACCGATGATACTTAATGGTGCGCTTACACGAGGGCAATAATTGCTCGGCAACACGAATGGACCGATCTGGAGCAATATCAATAAATTCAATAAATTATTTCGGCGATATTGCTTCTAATTGCTCCAGATATTTCATATCGCTCAATGTCGCAGATACGAATTGACGAATATCCAATGGACTTGGAAATTCCTAGCAATTTTTGTATATACATATCTCATTCGCACTTGTTTGTTTTGCGGCTTGCCGTCTTGCTTGCGGGGAGAGCGAGAGGTCGGGTGGAAGTAGGATAGCGCGCGGCAAGAGTCCAGCGCGTAGTCAGCCTCTGTTTGTTGTGTTATAAATAAATTAAAAATAATAAATTAAAATAAAAGTTAAGTTAAGTTGTAATTTATAAATAATTAAATAATATATTTTATAATTATTTATAAATTACAACTTCATTCTGTTTTGGTTCACACAACGGTGTTCCTTTTTTTTTTTACCGTCTAATCAAACATAGCCAACAGCTTGATTATTTTATGTCGTATTTTTTAATTGATTCATTTGGAATTTTGCAAAGCCGAAGAAATGTTCGTAATATTTACAGTGTGCTAATTAACTAACAGTGTGAAATTGAACTGTTTCCTGTTTATATTCTCGAAGAACTTCTGCAATAGCTCTGCTTACAGTAGGTACATATAATGCAATACAACTATCAGAAATTCTAAACAGATACATTAAACTTTTGTATGAATCTCCAGTTGCCAGAAATCGAAGTGTTAAAGCAAGTTTTGTTGATGCAGAAATTGGTTCTCTCATGTTGGTCGTCTGTTTCTTAATTTATGGGCTAACTTTATTCAAAAGTAATTCAAAGTCTGTTCGTGACATTCTAGTAAAGTTTTTGAACAATATATCGTCTAATTCTGTACATAATGAAAATTTTGTCCTCTTTGCCAAAAACGATCGCACCCAGATACGCCTATTCCTTTTCTTTCTTTTTTGTTTTTGATTGATAATAAAAAAAGCACTACAAGCCGCCGCAGCAAGAACAATATCGTCCATAGCGAGCGAAAACTGAAATGCTCGTGTATGGCAGTATTGCCTAGTTGATGAAGTTACGCCATATCGCTCAATATTGTATTGCGCAGTATTGATTCTTGTTGCCGTTGCCGTAAATTGCTTGATGTAGTCGTGACGTCATAGTTGACGAGTATTTACTGGAATTGAGCAATAAGAATACTGCGCAATACAATATTGAGCGATATGGCGCAACTTCATCAACTAGGCAATACTGTCGTACACGAGCATTTCAGTATTCGCTCGCTATGCTATATATTACTGACATGTCATAAGTGTACATTATGTTACCTATGTGATTAAATGATTTTTTACTTTACTTTATGGACGACATTGTTCTTGCTGCGGCGGCTTGTAGCGCTTTTTTTTATGATTAATCAAAAACAAAAAAAAAAACAAAAACAAAAGGAATAGGCGTATCTGGGTGCGATCAATTTCGGCAAAGAGGCCGCAATTTTCGTTGTGTAAAGAATTAGATGATATATTATTCAAAAACTTTACTAAAATGTCACGAACAGACTTTGAATTACTTTTGAATAAAGTAATTAGAAAGTATTATTATTTAGACCTCCCGCTCTCCCCGCGGAAGCAAGACGGCAAGCCGCAAATCAAACAAGTGCGAATGAGACATATACAAAAATTGCTAGGAATTTCCAAGTCCACTGGATATTCGTCAATTCGTATCTGCGACATTGAGCGATATGAAATATCTGGAGCAATTAGAAGCAATATCGCCGAAATAATTTCTTGAAATTTCTTGAATTTCTTGAAATTGCTCCATTAATTGCTCCAGATCGGTCCATTCGTGTCGCCGAGCAATTATTGCCCTCGTGTAAGCGCACCTTTAAGACATATTATAAACCATCGTGAATCTATGACTGACAAAGCGCATTATCCGTCGCGTAGTTTAAAATGTCTTAACGTACAGATGGCGGGAAACCTACTTTTTTAGATAATATGTAGATATTATATCTACTCAGACCATAGATTTTATATCTAGGTACTGTTAATAATTTTAATAATATTTTGTGTAATTTTATAGCTACTATATTAACATAGCTTACTTAGGATGTTATTGTCTTTTCCCTAAGAGAAATTGTTTTCTATGGCCCTTGTTCAACAATCAAGCTTGTTACATACCAAATAAATTATTAATTATAATATAATGTGCAACAGAAGTATGATTTAAGTTTATACGTTCATTAGCGATGATAGTGAACTCTTTCATCTGATTACCTATTGAATATTTTTTTTGTATACCACTGTGTGACACCGTTTTAGTGTTTGACTATGACTACTATGACTCCCGTAGGTTTCTCTTTTTCTAATTTTAATGATGTATTAATGTTAAACTTTTGCATAGATCTCAGAAAAATAAGCAAAAGCTTAGTCTTGAAATTTAAGTAAAAAAAGATTGTAAGTAATAAAACTTTCCGACAGACTAATCTTCCGCTAAAAAATACTATGATTTTTTATAGATATTTTTATTATTTTAAATAAAACACTAATAAAATTACTGTTAGTTAATATTTTGTATTCCATTCAATCGTATTCGTTCAGCGCATCAAGAACGACATCTATTGACAAAATGATTGAAATGGAAAAATTTACCTCTGGATTCTGACAGCTGACAACCTCATTCTATCTTAGTCTCAATCGTGTCACACTTGAACTTAATGTTGCCATAGACGAATTGAATATTTTACACACAATACAAAATGTTAAAATTAGATGATTGGGACCCATCCTTTATACTTTATATTATGATTAAAAAGTTTGCCATCTTAAAAGATTGAAGTAGATTTCTTCTACATAACACCATCTTTAACCCTTATATGGTTTCTCACTCAAGTGAACATAAATGTTGTATTATTATATATATTATAGTTATTTATAATTTATAACTAATTGGACTAAACTTAGCCCTCTAGGATACAATTACACTATTAATTTATTATGAATTTAAATCATATAATCATCTCTTCTCCATTTTGAAAAAAAATCCTAAACTTTATATATTATAATTTGAATATAATTTTATTTGCATGGTGACATTATGCATAAATTTTGTAAATATTTTTTTAATTATTTATATAAAAATAGTCATCGAAGTAGTTAAATTATGTTTCAAAATAAAATTTATAATAATAAACAAATTTGAGCCGTTTAAACGCTGACTCGCACGATGTTTTGCTTTAACGTCACCTGACACGTACAGTGTTTAATTACTTGGTCAAACACCAAATTTTAATAATACATACATTTTCAGTCGTCATCCTAGATAGACACTAAAATGGACACAGAAATACAGGTTTAAACTATTTTTCTCACTAACCCTACTACATATACAGTATGAATATCGAGGCCGATAGTTCCAATGATGTGTCACATGACGTCACAACTCACATTACGTTTCGAATAATGGTGACGCGTTTTTTAAATTTGGATTTCCCTAATTTTGGGAGGGATCCTTATTTTGCACTTTTTAATAAGTAAATAAAAACTACCTTTTAGTTAACGTAATGTGATGATAAAAAAGACAGTAGAAAACAATTCTTGAGACAAATTTGAATTTTATTGATATTCCCTATTACTCGAATATTTGCGTCGTCGTAGTGGGCGCAGTGCGAGAAGAATGGTAAAATAAAAATAATGTTTTGTAATGCTTTTATATTTTTAAAGTGACACAAGAATGATAATGACAACATTTGTTGTAGTACTTTCATATGAATAAAACAACAAATCTCTTATTACGATATTTTCAATTTAATAATTACTATATTGTAGAACATATTTTTCATTAGAAAAATGACCTTGACGTAATATTGGTAACATTAACATAACTAGGGGCAACTTTAGAAAATAAAATGTATGGATAATAGCACAGATAATAAGCACGGAAATGGTATTGACAATTTGACAGTAGTGATGTCTAACTATCCTAAGACGGCAACACTAACGATGACGAGTTAACGCCAATGACCATTGACCAATCACCAATCCCTAATCTCCGACGCCATTCGCCAAAGCAATAAGCATCGTCAAACGTGAACGGCCATTGTTCATCGCTGTTTATGATTCGAAAAACTCGTGTTGATTTTAGATTTGTAAGAGTTTTTGCAATTTGTGTGTATCTAAATTGTACTCGCTTTCGGGTGTAAATTAACGATTACGAGATTACGTATAAGGTTTATTGAAAATGACTACCGATAATATTGAAAAGTTATATCAAAATTATGGAGTTCTCGCCGACGCCAAGGATGATATTTCGAAGGTAACCTATAAAGCACAAAACAAAAATTATTTTATTTTAAATAATATTATTATAGCTATTTGTTACGTACTATGTTGTTTTCAGTATGAAAAAGAGTATTTAGAAATATTAGCTGCTGTCAAAGGATCCGATAAAGAAAAACGTCTAGCATCACAGTTTATCGCCAAGTTTTTTAGCAGTTTTCCTAATCTAGCTGAACAAGCTATAGAGGCTCAATTTGATTTATGTGAAGACGACGATGTTGCGGTATGTATTACTTCCGTCCGTCCGTATAAACTTCAATTATAAGTTCCACCAACCAACCACCCTTTTAACTTTAGCATGGGTGAATTTAGAAAAACAATTAAACAGATTTACATTAATGTGAACATTTTAACGTAAATTATTTAAATCTAAATAAAATTTTAAAAAGTTTAATATTTCTTAAGATTATATTTTGTTGTTAATTTGCTGTTTTCAATTTTAGATTCGTAAACAAGCTATCAAAGAGTTGCCTATAATGTGTAAAAGTAATAAGGAACACACTCAAAGGATTGCTGATATATTAGCACAACTGATGCAATCCGAGGACCCTACCGAAATCAATGTGGTCACTAATTCCCTGTTGGCCATTGTAAAAATTGAGCCACAAGGAGCTCTGGCTGGTATTTTTTCTCAAATTCATCAGAGTACTAATAGTGAAGTACCAAATGAGACTGTCAGGGAGAGATGTATTAAGTTTATTGCTACAAAAGTTAAACAACTGGGAAGAGAAGTAATTAACAAAGAGACAGAGGATCTGATTATTGTTGAAGGCAAGAAAATATTAGAGGTAAGTCTTTTTATTTTGTTACAGTCCACCTTCTGTAAGTTAACCTAAGCTGTTAAACTAAAACTAATATATTAAATTTAAATTGACTAGTCTCTAGTATTTCATTAGTTGTATGGTACTAATGTGTTCTCAACTGAGTTTAAATAAGCGTTTTAATATGTTAAATGTATGTTCTTTATATTTTTAGGATGTTGGAGCTGAAGAATTTGAACACATAATGGATTTGTTAGCTTGGTCACGACTAGGAAAGACCCCAGCTGGCAAAAAAGAATTGACACAAATTATTGCAACTCTTGCCTTTTCACCAGATGATTGGCATCCTGAGGATTTGGAATATGTGGATAGACTAATACAGTGCTCCCAACATGCTTTGCCATTGTTCACGGTATGAAGTCATTAGCAAATTTTAACAGTCACATCTACTTACTAATTACAGTCTTTAATTATAGGTTAACTTATTAATTTCTTTACATATTCTATTCTTCTATTTGCAATATTGTTTTTTGTTTCAGGCACAAGTTGATTCAACACAGTTTGTTAATATCTTTTGTGACCATGTTCTATCAAAATGGAGTAATATTGCTACGACAGGTGGAGGGACAGATACTAAGCTGGAAATTCTAAAAATATTTGCAGAACTTACTGAGCATTGTGGAGATATTGAAGATATTGAAAAGAAAATTAACACTGTTTACGATGTTCTAATGGTAAGTTGCTATTAGCTAATGGTTATGAGTTATGACTAATAAAAAGTTATGGTCATTAGTAATTAGTGAAAATTTTTTCTCTTTTTTCTTTCTTTCTGCTCCTCGGCAATCTTTTGAACACAACAATAAGCCACTACTTTGTCCGATACTAGTGTATTCGCTAAGGCTTTTTAGCGTGGTGAGACACTTCTACAGTAGGTGTCTCATTCCATCCTGAGGAATCTATTTTTTAGGGTTGGACCACTATGTCTCTTCAATATTTTGTGTTGAAGACTTTGATCTCCACTGAGTTTGAGGGCAAGCTCATTTTTGTGGTTTGAGAGTCTTTTTTGGTAATTGATGCTATATCTTTCTATCTCCTGTTTGACAGTTGGTTGAGAGTAAATTGAGAGTAAAGGTCACATGTGTTGATTTACTTTGATTTGCGTGTATTCGCCAGATTTTGAGCCATTCTTCAATTTTGTCAATGTGGTATTGTAGATGTTCTGATGTGGTTTTTGGATTCGTGTGTGTAGATAGTAAAGCTGTATCGTCTGCATATGTTGCAACCATAGTCTTGTCTGATATTGGTATGTCGGCAGTATTTATGGTGTAGAGAACCGGTCCCAGTATACTTCCCTGTGGTACTCCTGATTTGATCTCATGTAAGTCGGAAAGTTCGTCATTGAACTTTACTTCAAAACATCGCTTGCTGAGATAAGACTTTAATATATGGTTAAAAGAGTGTGGTAGCATCTTTTTTACTTTAAATAATAGGCCCTCATGCCAAACCTTGTCAAATGCCTGGCTTATAACGTCAACGATGCGGTGAACTTGCTCGATGGTTCCGTGGTTCTCCCGGAAACCAAATTGGTGATTTGGGGTGATGTCACTTAGGTGTGCTTTCATTCTTTTCAGTAACATTTTCTCGAGGAGTTTCCCTATTATAGGCAAAAGATAGTAGTGAACATTGGCTTTATTTAAATTTATATATACTAAATAAAGTATTAGATTTATATTTGCCCATAATATTAAATATACTGTGATGAAATTATATGCAAGTTAAGTAATTAAACTAGTGCCGAGGCTATAATCTATAAAGATTTTCGTGATTGGCATATAAATTAGTATTTTATAAATTTATTTTAATTTAGGGTTTCTGTAGATATATGGACTCATAATTTTTGTCTAAAAATACTGAAGTAATAGACTTGAAATTAACAATTATGTACTATTGTTATTATTTATATTTTAGGATTACCTACCAGAAGCACCATTACCAACAGAAGGTGAAAGCGTGGATAAAGATGTGGAAAAAGAAAAAGCTGAGGAAAATAAGACAGTTCCTTCTCTTCAATTTTCTCATGTAGAATGTGCATTATTTGCTTTACATTCATTATGTAGGAAATCTCCAGAAGCAATTGGTGCTGATGCAGCAAGACTTAAGGTGTTACGTCTCCGACTACAGTATACAGCAAGATTGACACAGGGATATATTAAAAAGTTGAAAGAAGTTACTCAGGTAATTAAATGCATAATAGTTGGTTTCTGTTTTATTTTAATGACACTTACACCTTAACATTATCTAGTTCAATGCTAATCATTATTCCTGCTGTAATACTTGTGACATCTAAAATGGAGACTGATTCTAGAACTGTTATTTGTCTAATAATTTATAGAAATGTTTAACTGAAATTCATCCATAAATAATTAAAAATAATTTTCTATGAGTAGGTATAGTCAATATGTTACATATAAACATTCAATTATAGTTTTACTTAATTTTTTAGGGTAAAAAAGGTGAAGATGCTAACAGTGATGAAAACAAGTTGAAGATAGCTGCTTTGAAAACAACTTCTAATATTAATACATTGATTCGTGACCTATTCAGAACACCACCCAGTTTCAAGAGCAAAATACAGTTGTCATTTGCATCAGCTAAAGAACTTAAAGAGGTAAATTTCTTATTCTAAAACTCTAGGATTGTTATTTCTGCTTATTAAGAATATCTTTTGTAGATTTGGTATAATAACTTATATTGAAATAATTTATAATAAAGTTATAGACAAATATGAAAACAAAACTTAGTGTTTAATAGAAGTTTTGCATTCCAGGAAAAAGTGGTTTTAGAACCAGAAGAAAAAGAGTCAGGTGCACAAAAAAGACACCGTCCCATTACATTTGACAATGGCGAGAAAAAAGTATCACCCGAAAAACGTTCAAGAAGTGGCGATAGAAATATTAAAATGTATACTCCACCATCAGGGAAATATAGTTCAAGATTCAACACGGGTCGATTTAGTGGGGGGAAATTCTGGAAGGGGCAGGGGTTATGGCAGACGGGACTATCAAAACAACGGTGCTTCATTTAGAAGGCGCAATTACTAATGACAAATGACATTTTAGAAACTGACTTTGACGTTGACTTGTGTGAATATTAGTTTTTATATCTTAAGGTTTGCCAATATTTTTTATTGGCAATGGCTGGAAAAGGGTCCTGATTTTTAGTTTAGCCAGAGATCCATAATTTCAGGATATCATATTGGATGCAGCAAACCTTTTTGCAATAAGAATGAATGTGAGTATATGCATGACTAATACCTAAGTATTGGTAGTTTTTTTTATAGATGTGGATGCTGATTAGTTTGGTAGGATCATCACTGTACTATCCCTGGTCGTAGTATAAGTATATTTAGTTTACTTCATCCATAGACTGCAGAACATCTCAAGGTAAGTGGTATCTTCGATTCTATTACTTTATACTAATCCTGGGCAGCAGAGATTTTAGTATGCAGTTTTCCTGTCAACTTTGAAATTTAATGTATCTTTTTCAGATTTTCAACTTTAATTTAATAAATAAAAATTATCAAACTTTGAATTTTAGTTTTATTTTATTTAAAGTATTATAAACAATAACATGTGTGTATACAATAAATAGAAATATGTATTTTCCTAACTTTTTCCCCACCAACAACTTATTAATAAAAGTCTTAAGCTTTGTAATATTAGTATTGAATATGTCATTTTCAAAACCTACTTACGTTATATACTTTTCTTTAGACTTAATCAATTCCAGGTGTAATAACCTTAGAAATCAATTCTGGACTTGTATAAGGTTTAAATTAAAAAAAATACAATAAACTTTTAACCAATGAAAGAATATCAATGGGTTAATGAATTTATTTTTGAAACTGACGAACTTACTTAAAATTATTTTAAAAATACAAAATCAGTACTACAAGTTTTTTATCTCATATTATCCACGACATTGCACATAATATAGTCTAATTCATAGCAAGGATCTGGATTAGCACTTTCATTTGGATTGTTCTCCATTTGTTCCAGAATCTCTGTTGGTACTTTAAATTTGATTCTATTTCATTCTGGTCTGGTAAACTTTGCAAAGCATTTTGTAGAATATCTTGGACCTTATCAAGATGCTTTTGAAACCTAGAACAAATAAATTACCATTCTATGTATAAATAAAAATGATACCAAAAAACAATTACATAATTTAAGAATATCTTCCCAACTATACATTATAGCATTTTTAATTAATTGATTTACCTCATAGCAGTCTCTACTCTTTGACGCTTTTGCAACTCCATCATAACTCTTAGGGTCTCTCTTGCTTGATGTGGTCTAAATTCATTTAATAGATGATGAATATGAATAAATAGAAGACTTAAATCTTCAACTTTTTCAGCTCTTTTAGGGGAGTCTGGACAATGTACTAGTAAATCTAATAAATCTAGGAAGTTTACAAGCAATGAGTGATTAAGTTTTTTCAGTTCTCTTCTTCTTTCAAAGTGCATAGGATAAAGTCTTCTAAATCCCTGTAAGTATTAAATATTATACAAATGATTGTAAACATTAAAAATTTTCAACAACTTAATAGTACTTGTACCTGGCTTTCTAGTGACCGAATAATAGTATCATCAGCATTAAACACGTTTCCGAACATTGAGTATGTGTCATGAATAGGTCTTGGTGGTAAGGGTGCACGATTTCGCCTTACGTTTTCATCCGTATAAAAATTAATATACTGCATTGGAGGAAGAGGCAGCGAACTGACTTGAGCTGTCTCCGAAGACATTGTGGGATTTCTGAATCAACGAATCTGGAATGAAGTTAACGAAACGAATTAATGAACACCATAGTGTCAATAATTAGACCATAAAAGTACTTAAATACCGCCTCATTAAATTACTCACAATACAAAGTAAATTACTTATGAGTAAAATTAAAATAATAGATTGAATCGTTAAATATACGATATTTTTGTTTAGGAATATATAAAATTCTACGACAAACTTGAAATTATAAGCAATGAGCATATATAATATATATACACAAATTTAACTTGACTATTGAGTTGACAATCGACACAGATACAGATTACAGACTATTTAAGTTACTACTAGTATTCTGTGGACTAGTGATGTTAACATATAGTTAAATCATAAAAAAAGTGCGTTTTCCAATTACCGCACTAGAGCGCATTTTGCGGCATAATGCTCAACGTTGAGTGTTCCAACTACAGCAACGCTTCGCACAATTGAGCACTCTCAAAACGAATGCTCTCGCAAACAATACCAACACAGTGACAGAAAATTGACCAGTATTTTTCTTTAAGTTGGCATTTATCGAAATTTTCGTTAGTAAATATTATTTATTGTTGAAAAATTTGTAAGACTTTCGTTTCGTCGTAGATTTTGAAAATAATTAAAGTTATTTCAAACTGCTAAAAAAATAAATATTAGTATGGATGAAGGTATAAATAGTTACTTTTTTTATATTCCACATTTAAAATATGAATACAATTTTATTTTAAAATTCGGATCTGTAAACAAATTTACTTTACAGGATTATACTTTAGAAAAAATTGCAATGGTTTTGAAAAAGTATATATTTTTTTAGAAATCTTTAAAAAATATTACTTAAAACGTAAATGATGTAAACTTCTTACATGAAACTAAATATTTTACTGTTAATTTAGCTTGTTAAAACCTTATAGTCTTTAAAGGTTTTCTCTTATTTCAGTAAAAAAAATTTAATGAAATAATTTGATTATTAAATTAAGCGTAAAAGTTTTCAACCAATTATTATTGTTTACCACATTATTTATACATTAATGAGGTTGCTAACTCTATTCAGACCATTTTTTTGTCAACACTGACTTAGCGCACTCTGCTGATGCATTTGAAAACTAATTCACGTTCCAATTAAGCTTCAGCATTATGCGGCATTGTGCGGCACTGAGTCGAAAAATGCTCTGTAATTGGAAAACGCACAATCTAGCTTTGCCGATTTGCAGCTTCGCGCGCCTTAATTCAGTCGTTAATTAGCAAGTTCAAGGAAACAAAGAAACGACCTACCCACTAAGAACTTTATTATTAATATTAGTATGGTAACTATAAAATGATGGTAAATTGCAGTATATTGTATGTCTGAATAGTCTCATTGAAGAAAATTAGCTTTACAAACCCTTACATCGGTAAATATATCTGAAATTTTAAGTACATAATAAACAGGAAATTATTAAAACTATTACAGCGGTATAACCGCCAACAATCAACATAGGTTCCTTGGTACAACAAAGCTTTGTCAAATATTAAACATACAACGTGTTTTAAATGTACCTAATGGCAATTATTTTTTTATTTAAAGGATATCAGTGCCAATATGCAAATTAACGTAAAAGTACAAGGAAAATGTTGTAATTAAAAAGCCCATTTTCCATATTGAGGTCCAATGAGTCAATAAATTTAATACCCTTGCAAATATATTCATAGTTCATACTAGATATCGGTGAAAAACGGCAACACCGCGCATTGGCGTGCTAGTTCGGTTCTTCGGTAGGATAAAAAGAATACCTACAACCGGGACTTAAATATCATCGCTAAGTTCACTTGTGTTGAAATCATAACAAATTAAGATTAATAGGATACGATTGTTTACTTTTTAGATGTTCAGAAGTGTCGTATGAATATTTCAAAAAATCTCAACTTTACCTAATGTGTGCCGTGTAGCCTATGTTAAATGTATCTTTGTGATAAATTTTTCAATAATTTCACGTTTCATTAAATTGGGTTAACTCACGTTACTAAACTTAACTACTTTGTGGCAAAGCGGCACGCGACGCGCGAAATGCCATGGATTAGAACTGTCGGTGACATCAAAGAATTTTGTGCATTGTACAAAATTTGTTACAATAGCAAATGCCTATCATAACAAATGAGTCGATCTACTTTATGTTGTATGTACGACGATTATTTTGTGTATGGATATTACTATTTTATGACTTACGAGTAATTGTTAAATAAACGTAGTCGTCTTTAGATACAAATTAAATGCAATATTAAGGTAAGAGACTTTAATTTTGCGGCACTTCACTTTTACAGTTAATTTTTAGTGATGTCTATGAAAATTCTATTTGTTGTTAGCAAACATTCATTGACATTTATTTGTACCTATAGTGAATTGTTGTTTCTACCCCAAAGTTCTTAAGCTACTACCACTATTATCACATCACTTATTAATTCATATTGGTTTTTTTTACAAATAGCAACTTCTTTATTCCTAAAAATTAGAATAGGGTAGGCACCTGTACGTGGACAAATTACGTAACTAGTTTCGGGCAGGGCAGGGGATAGATAGATACTTCCTTAATTTTCGAACAATAGCGTGACACAAAACGGCAACGTCTCTTGTAAAAATTTTCAATGGGAATTGGGAACAATTGTAATTTTACTACATACAATATGTTTTTTTTAAGTGAAACTTCTTTAGGCCCATGAGGGTAAAATTTTTACGGAACGTCACGAAGATGTGCAGCGTTTTTGTCGAAGAAAAGGGAGAGAGCGATTGAGACCGATTGAGAGAGAGTGAGAAGGGCAAATTACCTTATAGAAATTCTATTTTTAAAATTAAAATTTCTTAAAGAGAATTTATGAAATATTAGTATTTTATATATGTTTTTATTATCGAATAAATAAATTAAATTTATTATTTGTATTAATTTTCGACACTTAATATTTTAATGACGAAATAAATTCATTAAATTCTTAACATACCTTCCTTTTTCCCTACCTCCAAGTCTCAGAAATATAAAGTTTTAGATTTGTATAAATATGAACAAGAGTTAAAAATTTGTTTGCCGAAGAAGTTTCACTTCTGAGTTCTGAAATGTGTACTTTGTACGCACGCACTTTCTTTTTGTTTAGCTCTTGTGCGTTATCGTGGCAATGTGATTACCTACGAAACACATTGTATAATATTATGTCACCGTAAAATTGTAAATACCGTTAGATTGTAATCTATATTGCGAGATTGTAAACTGTCGAAAGATTGTGAACCTCAATGTACTGCTTAAATTGTAAGCAGTATTAGCGTATTATTATTTTATTTTATTTGACAATTTTAAGATTGTAATTTGACGGTTTCACTTTTTTTAAGAAACCTCAAAAAGTTTCTCTATGCAAGACGTGGCACCAGTTCCTACAAAGTTAAGATAACACGTAAAAATATTTTATAATAAAATAATATATTTTCGATCAAAATCAGTAACCGTCGAAATTACGTTTTTTTTTAAATCTTGTCAAATAACCTATTAGCGTCATCCGTTAGCTGTCATAAAATCACTCTTGTGATTTGACAGAACCATACATAATGAGTACTGACTAGTATGTCATCTGTCAAAAAGTTTTAGTCACTTGCAAGTTTTAACTTGGAGCCGTCGGCAATCGTTTTGAGTTTTCCCAATAAATTGTTATACATACACTATATTCTAAAGTTGAAGTTAAATTATTTTCATATAGAACACCTTTTTAAAAAGTGCTTTTATTTAAGGGAACTTCTATGCTTTTTTCTAAGTGTACAATTACAAAGCTTAATATTAAAAGTGCTTAGTCCAGACCGGTCTATACGTACTTAAAAACTACTATCGTTGTTATATTTTGTAGAATGTAGTTTCAAAGAAGGCGTCTTCCCGTGTTATCTGAGTGGTTTACTAGATACTAGGTAGGTACGTATGCACATTATATACTTATGGCCTAATTAATTCAAGTTTAAGTACTTTTATAAATCAATTGTTGACATACAATTCGGAAACTGTAAAATATGTTTGAGTTTTTTTTTATTTTTAATTGTCCTTCATTTCAAAGAGAAACAACAATAACAAAGTAACATTCGTTTGGTAATATTAGACGGCAAGTATATTAATAATAATCAATATATTAATAATAATAAAATCTTTATGTTACTTGTACTATAAAAAACTTTGTAATATATTTTATGTTACCAAATATTCATATGATAAATTAAACATATTTGTAGGATCATTATGGCTGGCACTGAAGATGAAGTGTTGAGAGAAGCATTTATGGTTAAGAGGTCTCAAAACAAGAAAATATTTACTCCAGTGAACTACAAAGAACGATGGTTTGTCCTCACTCGCCAAGTACTGATTTACTATGACTCAGATGGCCCAGTAAGTTTAATCGAGATTTATAGTTTATAAATAGGAAAAAAAAGTTAAACCTCAACCATGTAATCTCCTCAAATTTTTAATTTCTCTTAAATAAAAAGAAAATGGTAAAACAGAAGTTCATGTAAATTATTTGATGGTAGATTAATTTTTTAAAAGATGCGACTCAGCTACATAATTTTATACTTCCAGGTTTTTGTTACAAATATATATATATAAATATCAGATATAAATTTTATATAGTATAAACTCATTACATATTTTTATCTAGTTAAGTTGTTTGCTAAATTAAGCATCATTATTAAAGCTAAGTAGGTTAGAATAGGTTTTAACATTTTAATATGGATATTATTATTTTATGCAAACAAGGATGTTACCTGCTACTAAAAAGTGTAAGTAATTCAAGCAATGCAATATCTAAAGAATTTAAACTGTGTTTTAACACTTGAGTATATGTATGCAGAATATCTTATAAGAAACCTATATATTTCACAATCCAATCTTATCATGTGTTTTATTATTATTTCAAAAATCTCTTCAAATCTTTGCATATGGAAAGCAGATATTCAATCAGTAACGAATTTAGGACCTCAATACCATTAAATTAATATGTGTAAACTGGATTATGGAGACTATACCATTTAGAGAACATATATTGGGTTATAATACGTAAAAATTGTAATCCTGAAATCCTTTAAGAGTTTTTTAAAACGAGACTAGTTTTTGAAATGCTGAAATGTTAAAGAACACGTATATTTCGAACGTTAGTTTTCTAAACATCCACAAGTGTGCGTCGAATATAACTTCGATGTAGTTTCAAATGGTACAGACGTAAAGTGAAATTCTATTTTTAAATATCATTGTGACAAAGTGTATGAACGCGTGGGAAGAATGATTGGGGCTAGGGTGAATAGGAAAGGGTCGGAAGACGCATGCGTGGTTTGGGCGTGTCGGCTCAACGCAATGGGGTCCGGCAGTCTAGGACCTTCGCAGTACCGTTCGTCGCCCTTTCCTTCCGGTAAAGATTTAATATTTCTTTTCTATTGCTTACATTTTTTTATCGGCATACTTATTTATATTATCTGCAAGTGTTTTATTGCAATTGGTGTGTGTTTTTCATGAATACATTTGTAAATATTTATTTACCATTTTCGGTTTGGTTCTAAATTGTTTTTAGTGTTTTAACAGTCTCACAAAAGCCGGTTGTTAACTATGTAGGCGGACCTTAATTACCTAAATCTATCCAATGATAGTAAAAATATTCATCGAGTTATATATGGATTCTCGAACATAGTTGATTACGGAAAAATACAAAAACTGTAGAAGTGAATCGATACGCGTAAATTTCATTAAATAAATCGGTAAAGATATCATAAAATGAAATCTAAGAACTGCATTTTTAATGCACATTTTAAGGATTCTAACTAGGTCGTTATTGCATCCATGTTGCAATGTCAATTAGTTTAGAGTTTTATTAAAATATCAAGGCGTGAATGCACTTCGCTTTAACAGTGCACTGCGCAGCGCTTAGCTTACTAAGAGGACCCTCCATGATAATGTATGCATAGGCAGTTGTGGTGTGTGAACAGCATTAATTGAGAACCCTCAGTCAGAGTGCTTGTTGAAGCTCCTTTTGCGTCTTTTCGTGTACATTTTCAGGCCAACAGTTTCAGTTCAGTTCAGATAAATATCGTGTTAGAAAATTTACGTAAATCAATTAGGTTTGATTTTTATCCTATACCATATGTTCACATCGCTCATATGTACCGCGATTAAATATATATATATATATATTCATAACATCTGATATGTAAATAACATATATAATTATCATTTAGTGAAATCGAGATAAAATAAAATATTTAAATATGTTTTAAACTACGAAAGGAATTCTAGGATACGGTCGGAATGAAATCAGGATATTGGTTGACGCCATTATATCCTAGAAATTGTTGCGGAAGTTGACACCCGTAATATAAACCTGGCTGGTGATTACATTAATTTTGCAGCACGATTGAAATGATATTAAACGGAGGTATAGGCAACTCTTATTAAATCTATATATTAAACGTGTTGGTGTTTGCGGTACTAAAACTGGTACTAAAACGTCTTGAGTGATTCTTATGATGTTGTATATTTGGTAGGTATGAGAATACATTGTAGATTTCATACCACTCAGTGTCTAGAAAATACCTATTTGATTTTTTGTAATGATTCGAAATAACTCCGAATTATTCTACTCGAATCACCCTCGCATATGACTAAGGTGTATTAAGCGAAATCAGCGTTGTAATTTCGTTTTACAATAGAACATAAAATACAAAAATCCCATTGTCTATGCCACTAAATGACCATAGAGTATAGATAATAAATTTCAACAGAAACGGAAAGAACGTGGTCGCATCTCAACATATATGATACACACAGTGGAACAGGCGCAGCTTGGAGAACTCAGCAAGCAAGTTCCGGAAGGTGATAACGAGAAAACGCCAGGATATAGGTATCCCTTTCAGGTAAATATTTATGTTATATGAATTTTAAGCATAGGAGTATGTATGTAAATCCAATACGTTATGACATACGGGAGTCACACTTAGTGTTAAGTCTGCATCCGCAGATGACTACCTAATATTATATGGCGGACAATTTATAATAATAAATTACTTTTAATATTAATAATGACTATGGAAACACTATTGAATAGACGTTAATTTATAGATCTAGCAATATTGGCAAATACTAGTAACTTTGAATTCAATTAATTTGACGATAATTTATAAGTCATGTGTCATATGACAATGACAGATGACAGTAACGTCATTTCCCCGACATATACGTAACTATAAACTTAAATCAGCCAAGAAAAGGCGCGTTTAGAAATTATCAATGTGGCAGAAGTCTTCAGATACTTGAAGGTAATAAGGGGCTGAGAATGCAATGTTTAATCAGGAATACATCCAAAAGTAAAAAAAGTAGGTACTGTTATCGAAACATCAAAATTTAATAGCATATACTTCTATGATGTGATTGTGTCACCTTAACTGTGTTTATATTTTTAAGGCAATTAGTCAAAGAATTTTATGGTCATATTTGATATCCTAATAAAATTATTTTTATTATAGGTTGATTTTAAAGGTATTTGTTCCGTTAAAATTATACTGATACCAGTCAGGCTCCAATATTAGTAAAAAGCATTTGCTGTTTTTGAACGGCTTTTAAAAATATAACTGACTCCAAAATGTACTAAAGAGTTTAATAACAATATCTTTATTAAGATAATTAAATGTATGAAATGTTAATAAGTTTATATGTATAATAGGGTATGGGGAGTTTTATTATTTAAAGTGATTGATGATAATCGTAATACACATTAATTAAAAAAAATCGAATTGATAACTTCCTTAGGTTTATAATGAATGAGTTTCTTAATTTCTTGTTACTCAATAACTCCTGCATTTATGAGAATAAAGGCATCCAAAGCGGTCCCATGACGTATTGACTGGTACTGGAGAAATCGAGGAGATTATTAAAAATTTAAAAACAACATTCGAATAATAATAGAATTTATGTTACACTTAATGTAAGAGAATAATAATAAATATTTATTTATTTAATTTTTCAAATGTAAACTGAACTTTATTGACTATAATGACTCCTTTTCCAGTCTTTGATTATTTAATTGTAATTAATTATTTGCATGCAATCAAAAACTATTTTTAATAATGCCAAAGAAGTATAACTTCTTACGCGCGTACATAAGTACACGCACCCTTTTTTTTAAGACAATTCACACCAATTGAATGGGTACGAGGCAACGGATATACATACATAAATTAAAACACCCAAGACTAAGCACAACACCAAATGCTCATCACATCGATGTTCGTCTCAGCCGGGGATCGAACCCGGGACCCATGGATTCGCAGTCAGGGGTACTAACCACTAGACCAATGAGTCGTCAAAGTTATTTCATAATATTTGCAGCACAGCTTCATGATGACATAATATATCGCAGATTGTGCACAGGTGGGTTACACGGAGCAGAATTCTGACTATACACTGTACCTGGCAGCACGCGAGCATTCTGAACGTTTGAGCTGGATACATGATATTAGAACTGGTAAGAAAATCTAATCCTTTATTAATGTATGAAGAGTTTTCAATAAAACCTAGTTTCTATTTATAGACAAGGCTGTAGTTATTCATCTCTTTCAAAGACAAATTCACTCACTCGCGTTGTGATGAAAGAGAACTAGTTTTTAGAAGAATTTTTATGAATAGTAGAATATGTTCAGATTTACTTTTAGAAGTGTGTTAGATTTTTTTAGATAAAGTGTTGTACGTGACTTTTCTAGGTATTCCACCTAAACGTGAATTACTATTAAAGTGAAACTATGAATAGATAGTGTGATAGATAGATAAGCTCTACCCCGTACGGCCTTTTTTTCGATTTATCCCTGAGATCGTAGGTTCGATCCCCTGCTTTGTACTAACGGACTAACACTATGTGCGCATTTAACATTCGCTCGAACAGTGTAGGAAAACATAGGAATCCGGCTTGACAGACACAAAAAGTCGACCAATGTCAGACACCGGAGGCTGATCACCTACTTGCCTATTACGTTGACAAATGATCATGAAACAGGTACAGGAAATGTGAAGCCCAGACCGAAAATGGTTTATTTTAATAAACTAACACGCAATTATGGAAAACATCGTGACGAAACCGGCTTGCCTTTAAACCAAAAATTTGACCAGTGTGAGGCACCGGAGGCTGATCACTTACGTGCCTATTAGATTGACAAATGATCATGAAACAGATACAGAAATCTGAGGCCCAGACCGAAAAAGGTTTATTTTAATAATCTAACACGCAATGATGGAAAACATTGTGAGGAAACCGGCATGTGTCAGGCATAGAAATGCGTTTGTATTTTGGTTATGAGCCCTTTATTCATGGATTAAGGGAACTTTGAGCCTAGGTATCCTTGTCCAGAACATTCGTTGCTCTTAATCGAGTTTGATATTATGATTGTGCTACCTGTTCGTTTTTATCTTGTAACTTTTTTATCGGACGCAAATCAGTAACTGTAGGAAGTGTGAGTCACCATTTTAACATTCCATTTTGTGGTTACGGTTACATTCCGAGTTTGAGAAAAAAGAGCACTGTATGTGGTAATTTTGCCCACTTGCCAACTGGTTGATTGAATTTAAAGTTAATCTTTATTTTAAGTAGTCTTAAATTTTTATTAATGTATTAAATATATACGGAAAAATACAATGGGTTAGGTTAGGTACTAATAATAAATCTGTGGCACTACTACCTTCTTAGGTCTGGGCCTCGGATTTTTGTATCTGTTCTTTGATCGTTTGTCAATCTAATAGGCAATTCACCTACTTCAGCCTCCCGCCCTGACACACGCCGTCGACGTTTCCTTCACGAAAAAAAAGTCCATTGGTGCACAGCCGGGGATCGAACCTACGATAGGAACACTCGCTCGTAAATGGAAAACATCGTAAGGAAACCTTAGACGCAAAAAGTCGACAGGGTGTGTCAGGCACAGAAGGCCAGTTACTTGCCTATTAGGAAAAAATTATCACGAAACAGATACAGAAAGCGCAGTCAGTCAATAAGCTTAGAATTATAACTAATGAATTTAGTTTGAACCTTTGACCGAGAAGTTGCGTCAATGTACGGAGGCGGTCAACATTGCGTCATGTGTAATGTCAAAATTGATGGTTTGTACTTTACACGAATATATTGCAGTGGGTCCAATTTTTTACTAGGACGCCGCAGTGCTCGCAATTCTGCTTCGCTTCAGCACAAATTTGAGCGGAGCGAGTGTTCAACTCAATTTTTAATGATGAGTAAAAATACATAGATTCAAAACATTTAATTTAAAGATTTGATTTTGTTGAAAGGACTTTTTAGTTTTAGGTCTCCTTCGAAGTTGTTTTTCCGCTTATTTTGTGATTTATTCGTAAATATTATTGAGTTTCTAGCACGGGAAAATTTTCCATCTTTAATTTAAAAAAAGAATTTTCAAAATCTGTTAAGCCGTGGGCGCATGGGAGCTTCGCTCGCTCCCCCTCAATAATGATTATAGGTTATTCAAGCACAGAACATCACACAGAAAGATAATAATTAATCAGGTATCGCAGAAATCCATTATCTATTGTTTATTTATTAAAACCTCGTCACATTGGAAATAAAATGAAATCATATGTTATTAGAGATGCAACGGTGCTCTTGCTAACGCGCGATCTGTTCCAGTCTACGCTAGTATAGAAAAACATAGAAATACTAAATTAACAAAAATAAAATTACAAGTGCCTATAAAAAAATATTAAATTACCACGCTGAAATCTTAAAAAGGCATTGGTTAGTTATTATTTTTCGTTACTTTATCTGTAAGTTTTCTATCGCCTTCCTCAAAAACTTGACCGGGAGACTTAAAATATATAAGGACCTTACGTAGCCTTGTGTTGGCCTAGCCAAGCGCAACTCATTACCCGTCTTGGATTCGGATCCCGGCAGGTCAACAACGAATTACATTATTAATTTGTTCACATGAATTTATGACATACAGAAATCAGATGTATTATAATGCTATATTGAGATATGTTTTTACGTATTATTAATATGTAGTATTAATTAGGAGACTTATGAAATCATAGTAAAAGCTTATTAAATATTAATTTCCTATAAACCTAAGAAGGTTCACGTTTTGCGTGTTTTACAGCAGTCATAGTTGTCAAATGTCATTGAAGTGACAGCTGAAATGTTTATCCCATTATCACAGATTATTACGATTCTGATCCCTTTCAGTGTGTATATCGAACACACGGCGTGCCCGATATCACCCAGCTGTCTGGTCTGCTCGTCGCTGGTCGTGTTGTGACGCGGAGCGCCGGTCAGCCCCGGGCTGCGCCCTCACAGCGGTTTGGCCGCTGCCGGAGCCCGACTTGCAATTGATATTGCACGAACCAAGTAGTCTTACTCCATGTAAGTATAAATGTAGAATGTTATTAATATATTAGACAAAAATATAAAAGTGTACGGAGCTACCTGACGCCTATCTAAAGCTTATGCTCAAACCGAAACCGATTGAGAAGACGAGCTGTTCACGACACAGGTAACTCCATTGCACTCAAAGGCATTGTAACTCAAGGACTTGTGCACTGTCTCATTATATAGTACTTTTTTTTAATTATGAGTAATGAAGTCTTTCTAAGCCATTCTAAATTATTACGTAACACATTACACCTGTGATTATTTTAACTTATTGGGTTTCTAAGATATTTATTTTTTTATTTATCAATAAGAGAACATGATAGACAGAAAATAAGATATATTTATGTCTGTCTGCAACATTTTTTTAAATAAAAGTATGAGGAACACATATAAAAGAAAAAAAAAAGGGTCCGTGTACTTATGTACGCGCGTAAGAAGTTATACTTCTTTGGCAATATTAAAAATAGTTTGGCTTTGTTCCACCTCCAGTTTTTGATGTTTCACAGCGATAATATAATAATAATAATAATAATAATAATAATAATAAAAACTTTATTGATGACAGAAAGGTTTGTGACAGAAATCATAAATCGCTAGTCCCCACACTAGGGAGGCCCTGTGTTGTGGGTAACTAGAAAACAATTGTTTCGTGGTACATGTTAAAATTAGTTTAAAAATGTGATATGAAAAAATGATAATAAAAAATAAAAAATACCAATAATAGTTATAAATTTAGTGTTACGTATGAAGTGAATGAGTGAGTGTGTGAATAGGTGAGTTTGCGCATGTATTTGAGAATGTAGCTGAAAGTTGTTATGATCGTGCACTGTGTCTGTGTTTATGAAACCTCAAAGTCATACCAAGATATGTAGTAATGCCTCTGTGGATTCGAAATCCAATTTGGCTAGTGTAGTTTCTATGTGACTTGCTAATTTATATCTGGATAGTTTTACGATCTCAGAGTCCATAGATTTGGAGATTTTGTTATAAAGGAAGGGGCCCCTAAATGCAAAGGAGCGTTGTCCAAATACAGTCCTTCGTTTTGGCGTTGGGAATGCAAAACGTCTGTTCTTAGATGTGTCCTGAATTGTGAGCCCATGGAATCTATGATATCTTGAACAGGTCGCCAAGATGTAAAGCTTCCTTACCGAGAGGGTTTTTGTTTCTAGGTGGAGTTTGACTGTGGGGTATCTAAACGGCCTGCGATAGGCAACTTTAAGGATTGCTCTCTGTGCACGTTCCAACTTAAGCAATAGAGATTCAGCCGCTCCTCCCCATGCCGATATACAGTATGTGAGAATGGACTGACAAAGTGCAAAATAAATTATTCTAATAACTTCGTCCTCCGCTACTCGTTTCAGTCGATTAAATATTAACATAAGCTTTCTGATCCTAGAAGACTGTGCATCAATGTGCTTTTCCCAAGTGAGGTGTCGATCTATTATTATTCCTAGATATTTTATACTTTCGGTGTATTCGAGAACAGGACACTGGCATGGATATTGGTTATAGCACGTGTGGAGTTTTATGACTGGTAGGGTCGTTGGGCGGGAGCGATCTGTTATGCTGAAACACATAAATTTGGTTTTGCTGAGATTTAGACTAAGCAGATTGTTTTGAAGCCAGTTGGAGACGCAATTTATACCTTTCTCAGCTAAGACAGAAACCTGTTCCCAAGTTTTAGCATGAAATATCATAGCTGTATCGTCGGCAAATGAATAAATATTTCCGTTGTCCAGTGACAGACTGCACAGGTCGTTGATATATATTAAAAGAGGGTCGGTGCAAGCGCACTGCCCTGTGGTACTCCAAATCTGACGTATTTCTTGTGGCTTGTGTGTCCCCTAAGACTAACACGCTGTTGCCTATCCTTAAGGTAGGATGCAAACCATTGCAGAGCCACCCCTCTCACTCCTAACAGTTCCATTCTTCGCAGCAAAATGCAGTGTGAGACCGTGTCGAAGGCTTTTGCGAGGTCTAAGAAGACACCTATACATACCTGCCCCATATCCAATTTCTCGCTTATATGGTCAGTAAGATTACTGACAGCGTCTGCAGTAGATCTTTGTTTTCTGAACCCGAATTGGTTGTAGGAAATGAGCGATTGCTTTTCTAAAAATGAGAGCAGCCTCTTGTTCACTATTCGTTCTAGGATCTTGGCTATGACTGGGAGAAGGGATATTGGTCTGTAATTAGAGACGTCCATTTTGTTTCCTGACTTCCAGATTGGGGTTACATTGGCTAGCTTCCAAGCTTCAGGAAAGGTGCTGGTCGACATGCTAAGGTTACAAAGGTAGGTTATAGGAGCCGCAAGGATGTTTTTAAGTCTGATTATCAGTTCGCTTCCTATGTTGTCACAACCTCCAGCTGAGTTACCCCTAAGTTTGTTGATAGTTGCACATATTTCCTCTTCGTCTGTTGGATGTAAGAAAAATGAGTTTGGATTGGATGGCTTATCTATATTTTTTGCTAGCTGTTCCTCAGATGTATGTAAGTATGTGATAGTCCTTTCCGCTAAACTATTGCCTATGTTTGTAAAAAAAGTCGTTGGCTTTATTTAGAGCTACCACAGGATCGGGTGTTATTTGAAGTAGGTCAGTGGAATGCGACTCCTTTGAACCTATGTGGCATATACTTTTTACTGACTCCCATAGTTTTTTGGTGTTATGTCTGTTCTGCCTAATCGTGCTTTTTTCGAAGTTTTCTTTAAGTTTCTTTAGAAGATTATTGCAGAAGTTTCGATATTTTACATATTTATCCAATAGTTCAAGATCTTTGGGATGTTTTCTAGCGGTTTTGTGAAGAGTGTCTCTTTTTCTTACACAATTTAGAAGACCAGCGGTCATCCATGGTTTCCTAATGGTTTTGGAGTTTCTCGCTGGTTGTATGACGGTATGTTTTGAGATGGCATTCTTTAGCGTATCGTTAAAGGTTTCAACTGCGTTATTTATCTCTTTGATGTCATAGAGGTGTTTCCAGTCAGTGAGCTTTAGTTCTTCTGTAGCTCCTTCATAGTTGATTCGGGTCTTGTTTCTAAGGGCCTCAGGCTGTGGTGTTGCTATGGGGATGGTGTTAATTCCTAAAATAACGCAAAGGTGATCTGACACTAATGAAGGGCAAACTGCCACTTTAGCTAGGAGGCTTGAATTTACAAGAGCATGATCTAAGCAGTTTCCTTCTCGTGTTGGAAAGGTGTGGCCAGGTGCAAGCCCATGGTAACCTATAAGGTTTAAGTATTGGTCTTTCCTGATATCACTTGACGATTCTTTTATATCAATGTTTATGTCCCCTACTAAGTAGGTAGATTTGTTTTGAATTTGATTTAAGATTTGATCTAGCGATGCCAAAAAATTGTCAATGTTTACAAAGGATGGAGAACGATATAATGTTACTATTGCTATGTCATCATCGATTGTCAAGATTAGACAATTGCTTTCAGAGAAAGTAGGTTCGGATATCTTGACGTTTATGTCCGGCTTATGGAAAATAACAATACCATCACATTTGTTAATATATTGTGTTGAGTATTTGCAGATATATCCGTTCAAACAGAGTCCGTCAAAATGTTGATCGATCCAGCATTCGGTAAGTACAATGACCTCTGGATCGAACCCGAGCCTGGCAAGAAAGAGGGTAAAGGCGTCGAAGTTTTTCTGGACACTTCGAATATTTTGTGATACGATTGATAGGTTGGGCCTGCAGAGGAAACTTTTGCAGTCTTCAGGATGCCATAAAAGCTCGCTATCGCTGAATTTCGTGCCATCAATGGCCTGGATTAAATCATTGCTATCGAATTTTATAGACACAAGTAGATGGTGGGTTAGAGAGATATTTATGAATCCGTAAAAAGGAATAGCCAGAGTAATTGTTGTGGTCGGACAGTATATTTTTGAGAGTAGAGGCAATAGTTATGTGTGTGAGTAATGGTATATGCCGGTAGAAGACGTAGTACTCTTTATAAAACAAAGGAGTTGGCTGATAGAAGCTTGTTATTAGGTATGACAGTGCTTGCTGTATGGAGTGTGTGTTTGAAAAAAAGTATGCGTAATATATTAAGTGAGGTCTGGATTTGATTTGTATGATTTGGTGTTGGTATGTGTGATACATCATATAGGCGAATGCAAGAAAGACTAGTCATCCTTGAGTCGGATGGAGTTGTTCTTCGGAGTTGATGAGCCTGTAAGGGGCTCCTTCTTGACGGCGTACGTAGACCTATATAGATAAGATGAAAACTCTTTTTTTGTATTCAATTTAGTGCAGTTACACTGATTCATCAATTGTTTTTTGTCTCTTTTCCTTATATTTGCTAGATAAAATCAGAAAAATTACATGTTTTGATTAAACAATGTGGTTAATTTTTTAATCAAAACATTACTCGATAATAATAATATTACATACGGATAGTTAACCTCAATTGTATTGAAGCACTTAGGAAGGTTGATGAGCACAGTTTTTTCACAAATATTAATTAGTATTGGTTTAAATATTCAATTTAAATTACTTCTGATTATAATTCAAAAAGCATCGCTAAATTTCTTTGAAAAAATAATTAAAACTCCTTTATTTGTTTAAAAGGTAAATGACAAATGTCATTATGGTCATTCAAAATTGTTGGCATACGAACTTCACGCATATTCTATTTCTTTTTACTTGTAGATTGTCTTATTCCTATCTCGCTCGCGCACGCTATAATCACACTCCTAATTTTGTGTCACGGGTGCTCGCGCATTGTAAAATTTCACTCTCATAAATTTTTCATAACGCGCCTAAAGAAGTATAACTTCAAAAACGCTGCACATCTTCTTGACGCTAATATTATTATTATTGCGTTTCATCCGTAAAAACATGCATCCATGCAAACAGCAATTTAAAGTACATGCACAAAAGACAAAACAATTACAACGTTTTTATAAGGAGCTTGAAAGCAGTAGGAAAGCACGAAAACATATCAATATATTGTTTTTTTTTAGACTAAATTATTAAGTATCGCT